CTGGCTGGGTCCCTGTTGAGTGAAGCTGGAGGCCCGGGTTCGAGTCCCCACCGGTGGGGGCTGACCTGAGGCGGCAGTGGCGAGGGTGCATACCCACGTGAACCCGAGAGCACTACAATATATATTACAGCTTTCACATATATCCTGTATTTAATAATATTTACTGTATCTCATAGACAACCTGTAAGAACAATTACCGTATATGATACTTTTAACAAATAAAGATCGGAGTAAGACAGGAAATCAAGAAGATTGTGCATACAATAATATTGAACTGCAATTTACAGCAGAGGGTGATCTCAATGGAGTGTGACTTCCACACCATATGGCAGAAATGGCATCTTCCTAGAGGAACCAATTCCTTCGTATTCATGACCGCACATATCTTGCAGCTGTAGGTATTTATGCTCACCATTGATTTAACAGCTGAACCAATAGCTGTAGGGTGAAAGGATGTGGATTCTGCAGTTAATAGTTACGACTGCAAAAAGAGCATCAAAGGCCCTAATCCAGTTATGACACGCTGCAGCGAGCTGATGTGATTAGTCTGCGGAGAGCAAGGTGTGTCGCTCTATTCGAGGTGGTGAAATGCAAAGATCTAGGCTTTCCTATCATGTGAATATCACAGGGGCCACAGATGTGGATTTGATCCCTTGCATTTAAAGACCTGTCAACTGCCCATCTCAGAGCATGTCTCGAAGCAAAACTCATTCCTAAATCACCTTGAAAAAGTTTCACGTTACCAAAATAATCCTTACAGAAATGACTGAACGTAGGCTGTTAGAGAGGAAATACAATACGAAGCATATCTGTGCACTCAGTGTTCGGCGAAGGCATGAGTCTCAGTGTGGAACTCTGTTTATCCTGGGCACGACCTTGTTACATGAGTCTTTCTGAGCATCGGGCTGCTGTCCATCAATTTAGCTTCAAGCAGTTTGAATCATTGCTTCGGATGGGGTAGTTCTTGAACATTTAAGCATTGATCCATTGAAGGTTTTTCGTTACTCCTGCCACGGCCTTTCATTCAAACACGTGTTTTAGCACCTTCTCATAATCGGGAGGTCCGTCTTCTGTGAGGTCTTCCACAGTATCATGACCCGTGCGGCAGAATTCTCCTCCAGGGCTTCCCTTGTGGAAGATTCTTCTAGAAGTCGACAGACTGTGCTTTAAGAAGTCCATGATTTCCATAATAAGGAAGACAGTGCAGAACGAAGACAGAACAATTGTTTTGCTAGATACAGTATATATATACCCACCTCTTTAAATAATGCACCATGTAGTTACAGCCTTAATATATTATCCCCTAAATCATCCAGATGATTCAGCTCAGAGCACTTCTTTAGTAACGTCTTCTGATTCCTGCCTCAGCTTGGATGGTCTTTTACCTTACAATACTGTTTTACAACTATAGTACCGTATGTATTCTCTGGAAGTATTTTAACGATCACCTACACTTTCAAGAATCTCACAGTTAAAAGGCGGTGTGGGGGTTTTGGCAACTTGTGGAGTATTCAGGCTAGTAGATTTAAGATGTAATTATCCTGTCTTGTTTATACAAGCCTGAGAATTCTGGGATGTTTTCCAAGTAAGATGACAGAATCAAATAATGGCAATTACTTTTTGTAAAGCATTGCTTGATTAATGTATAATCTGACCCTAGGCTAATTTTTTGTTAGTTTTGACCAGTAATTTCTCATATAACAAGTCCAATTAGAACATATGTTTTTATCTAAATTGATCCTCTAAACTGAATACTTTATTTTCATATAGTATTGAGAACTACTGTAGACAAAAGCACTGGGTGGTCATTCATTGTGTGACACTTATGATTAAAACTGTTCCTGTTAACATCATGCTAAAGATTAATTTCTCTTCGGCTTCAATCCAGAAACTGGGCAAACCCAGCCGATTGTTGATAAAGAGACACAATGTAAATATGTCTTTGACTGTTCTTTCCAAACATCGGGGGGCAGGGAAATACCTTGATGACTCAACATGGTCAACATGAATGAAGTACTGTTGAGCGTTTGCCTTTATCTGGAAAATATTGCGAATTTAAATATTAATTATCTGCAATTAACACATTTATTATTTTTTATTCACGCTGCACTGGACAACTACTATTGAGGCCAAGAGTTATCACTAGCAAAATGTCTTTGGGTTTTATCTGAGTTTCAAAAGCGTTGAAATGAAGAGGTGTGACAGCCAGAGAAATCTGTCAGGATTCAGACTGTGAGCCAGTCTTGGAGAAAGAATGACTGTTGCTGAAGTCCCACTCTGGCCAGTACTGCTGCACTGCTGCTTCTTGTTCAATCAGCTCTTCCATCCCTGAGTTTGGACTGGGGCTCTTTGCATTTTAAATGGCTGGAAGGAAACAACGGTCTGAGAAATATTTAAAAGCCTTTGTAATATGTAACATTACAAATAAATATGTATTATGAAATATGACAAGTGAAATGTGTAAAAGCCTTTCGGAAATAAAACGGTGTCCGAAGTTCTTGGGGCTACAGGAACCGCTGTCTGCTGGAGGGCACGATTACTAGCTGCTGAGCAGCAATAAGAGGTGCTGCCTGCCTCCTTAACTCTGCCTCCTCCTTAACTCTGCCCTCTAATCCTTCATCCTGAATTGCTCTTGGCATTCTTTCTCTGGAAGCCTTATAGTAAGCAGATAATTACTATTTCCTTCTATTGACTTAAGCTGCCCTGTTTTCTTATGCCCATCTGGTTTTTGAAACGGACAAGAGTAATTCAGAGCTCTCTCCTACATTCCCTATACTTTTAAATTCCTCTTTTTGTCCTGCCATCATCTACTGGTTCCTCATGTCTTTATGTAGGATTTAAAGGCACAGCCAGTAACACTCATGTTCTGTAATGTTTTTACTTTTACAGTTGCAGAATTATTTGAAAGACAGAAGTGTTTTTGATTTTCGATTGAAGTCTATAGTACAGTAAAACTATTATGTTGGCTAAGAAGGAGAAGTTGTCTCTTTGACAAACACCCTTGGATTTTTTAATGATCACAGAAAGGCAGGACCTCGGTTTTATGTCTCATCTGTAGGACAACTCCTTTTTCTACAACATAGTGTTCCTATCAGTATACTGGGGGATTAGGACCCACATGGACTGCAGGGTGAGCACCCCCCACTGGTCTCACTAACACCTCTTCCAGCAGCAGCCTTAGTTTTTCCCAGGAAGTCTCCCATCCAGGTACTGACCAGGCTCACACTGCTGGGCTTCAGTAGACTGCTAGGTGTGAGCTGCAGGGAGATACAGCTGCTGGCTGCTGGATATGAAACATCTCCCTGTTGTCTCAGGGACCTTGACATCACCCCTCGAATCCACGGGCATGAGATGCTTTTTCTGGTTGAATGAATTCTTGTGCATGTGCAGTATGTAAATTGATCCGCATAACACTGCGCTTCCCTTGACAGCTTTTAAACTATGAAAGTTTTTAGTTTGTGAGAGCCGCATCAGATGTGGGAAATTCAATTCTCTTTTTGAGAAAGCATGTAGATTTCAAAGCTTTGTTCCCCCTCCTTATATACATACTCATTTACGGTGAATTGTACAGTGTACTGTGTTTGGCTATTAAAGAAAAGATCTGTTCAGTTCAGTTCAGTTCCAGGGGCTGGGTGGTTATCGAGAGGATGTGCTCTCCCTGCTGGTTTTGTGTCCAGGTTCCAAGTACATTTCTGAACAGATTACTGTACGTTCACTTTAGTATTTTCCTCAAAATAAAGACGTAACTGATAATCAAGGCTGTCAGTCATGCTCTGTCCCTTGTGTGTTAAAAAGGCTTCTTGGGAAGCTGAAAAGAAAGGAAAGGTCTGTGGATCAAACTGCAGCAGCCTGTGCATGATCAGGGTTATTCTCAACACACCCAACTCTCCAGAGAGGAGAATAAGAGCCAGGCGTCATGTCAGCAAGGTGCCCCACCTCTCTATGTTATAACTTCAGATTTTAAACAATGTTATCACTGATATCCAGACTGCTTCAAGAGCCCGAGCTGTGAAACGCCAGGTCCTCCAATAACCTGGTGTCCAGAGTAGATTACATTAAATTTAACATGCCACCGAAAAATCATTCTTTCCTTTTTATAAAAAAAATGCATTCCTGCAGTTTTAGCTCGGGCAGCATGGTAGCACAGAGGTTATCACTGATGCCCTTTAGCACTGGGACCCTGGGTTCAGTTCCAGACCTGAGGTGCCGCCTGTGTGGAGTTTGTGTCTATGTGTGTTTCTACTGGGTGCTCTGATTTCTTTCCACAGTCCACAGACTTACTAGTAGGTTAATGGGCTTCTGGGGAAATGTGTGCTGGTGTGAGAATGTGTGTGTCTGTGTCTGCCTGCGATGGACTGGTGTCCCATTGCTTGCCAGTGTACTGTAGCCTCTGGCTTCTCTGTGATGAGAGGAAAGGTGGGTGGAAGCGGATGAATGTTGTGAGTATCTTATTCCACCCTTTACAAGATGCATTTCTATATATATTATACGCATTTCTTGCATTTGAAGGTTTGTGGATTTTATAAGCTCAGAAAAATATTTTGGCCTGTCTTATGCCGTGAATAATGTTCTGTATGACAGGGAACATTTATTTGTTTCAACCCTATTCAACCCTTTACCCTATTCAACCTTAAATACAACATAATGTCTGACATTTTTTTTAAAAAGCACCTGCAATAAAATCTTTAAAAGTGTTTACAGACAGAAAAGAGTTTTGTTATTTTTTTCGGTAACAGCATAAAATCGACAAAAAAAGAAAAAGTTTGACTTGCAAGCTTAGTTATAGTAGGGAAGATTACATATACTTTGTTTTGGTTATAGATTATTAATATCAAGGTGATTATAATGGTGCTTGTGAGGATGGGTTTGACTCTAGAGTATCTTGAACACTGTCTACAGCAGCGATAGTGTGATTTATCAAATTATCCCTTAAAAATAAAGCACATACTTCATTAAGCCACACACAAATAAAGCAATTACAATGTTAAACAGTTCCGGTGTTTTATAGTTAAATGTCACAAATCAAGATTATAGAGCTTGTTATATATAATACAATTTCCTCTTTTATAAGCATGTCTTAGGGCAGAGATTTACAGTATTCTTGATGGATTTATTTGAATGTTACAAAAAAATGCACGAGTGTCATTTTGGTTTCTCTCATAGTAGCAATCTGTAGACGCTGGGAAAGCATGAACACAGATTTTTTTCTTTTGACTTTTTTTAGGTTCATTTTTTACGATGTGCCCTCAGACTATTTTTTTAAAAGGTTGCCTGACAGGCTTGCTCAAAATTCTTTTCAAACAGATGGGACTCAGGTAAGCTGGAAATGACAAAATGCAGTCAGTACTCGAGAGATGTGTGGTCTAGAGGCATGTAAGCAAAGCTTTTCGGTCACCTTTTTTCTCTAGGAGGATAATACACTGTAAGAGATCATCAATAACTGCCAGTACAGATCACAGTGCAGAACTGCCAAAGCTGACATTTCAACAGGTGAAACAAAGTTCAGCCTTTATCAGCACACTAGCGTTGTGCATGTCCAAAACCTAAAAATATACGAAATATACATTCCATTTCTGACAAATGGTATAGAACTGCATCTGATTAAAAAATCTTTGCTGTTTTTTTTCATTGGGTTTTAATTTCTATAGTAGTTTCATGATGTTAGGTCTTCTACATCCAGCAATCTGCTGTGAGATTTGTGTTATTCTCCTTACTGCAGGGTTAAATTATAATTTCAAACTGAAAAAAGAAGCTTTCAAATTGTAGCCCATTAAATGAATAACAATGTATATACATTCAAGCTATCTAGTATTTGTTCTCTGATAATATACAGTAGGTCAAATATAATTATCATCCCTTCAGGACTGACATTTCACACTGCAGCACCTTTTGATACATGTTCCTTGCAGAAAATATAACAATAGATTTTTCCAGACATTCATACAAAAGATTAAAGGTTATTAGAAATTGACAGAACAGATAAAGAACTGCCCAATAAGAGATGATTAATAAAGGTAATCATGTTAAACGTGCAAAACAAGTTAATTGTTTGTCACATACTGTAGTTTAAAAATCTTTTGCCTGAATGTATTTTGAGGCTATTTTGAGATGACTCCAGTTCACCTTTTTTCTGCTGCATTCCATTCTGAGCTTGACAGTCTGAATAATGGAGTGGCTGTGCTCTGTGCATATGGACATGAGAGTCAATTTGGATTTTAAACACTCTCCTTTTTCTACAAGTGACACAAACCAGTTCTGCAACGGTTTGCAGATAAGAGAAGCAGCTCTTCTGATCTGTGTTAAACCTCATCACCCCCAAGTCTGTACATGAGAAATTAAGACAGGTTACAAACGAGAGGCCATTCAGCCCATTCAGTCACTATTACCTCACTGATCCAAGGCTGTCATGCAGCTGTTCTTCAGAAGGAGCCAGGATGTACTGTAGCGTGTTCCACACTCCCACAACCCTTTGTGTAAAGACGTGTCTCGTGGTCTCGGTCTTAAAAGCAGTTGCCATTAGTTTCAATTTGTTTTTCCTGATTTAATTTTTACTTTTGTATTTTGTTGTGTTTTTTTAGGCCACTGTCTGACAGGTTTAGCCGATTTTTTTAACACGACCAGTGTTAAAAATAATATAGCCAATAATTATATTGGTTATTATATTGGTAACCAATAACATGGGTGTTATTTCAGCACAACACTGTATGTGTCCTTGTGAATTTCTGCTCCTAGAATAAGAACGAGAATGAGGAAGAGAACAATTATTAACAATTATTTTTTTAGTGCCTTTCCAAACCCAAGGATGCTGTACTGTACATAGTGATAAAGAACAAAAGAGAAACAAACAGCCATATACAAAGAAACAAGAACATACAGGATTAACTGTAAGGGAATCACGCATAACCCCTAGCAAAAAGATGAGTTTTAAGTTTTGATTTGTAGAGAGTCAGTGAATTTGTCTCTTGTCGAGTCTGAGGAAAGGCGTTCCATACAACTGGAGCAGAGACAGCAAAGGCACCAACGGTCCGAAATTTAGTCCTGGGGACGTGGAGCAAACGACCAGCCTCAACTGACCAGAGCCTACGAGGGGAACATGGAGCAGTTCAGAGAGGTGTGACAGAGCCAGGGTTTGAGCCTTAAAAGTCCATGACAAGATCTTATATCGAATACATGACTTCATAGGCAACCAATGTAGACATTTTAGTGTAGGAGTGATATGCTGCCAGGTTCTGCTGTGAGTTTGGCATCTAGCTGCAGAGTTCTGAACATATTCCATCTTACTGAGAAGAGTGTTAAAGAGCCCACAGTAGGAATGACTACCGATGTAGAAAGCTAGACATTCATACTCCTGCTTGAAAGACTAAGGAAATGACATCAGCCTGAATGCTATTGAACAAATGAAACAAAATCAGCAAAAGCAAGCTTTTATTCTTAATAAAACACCCTTTTTTCATTTTTCCTCTGGGAGATAATAATAGTCGTGTCTGTTTTACAAAAAAACAAAACAAATCACCCATCTTGTTTACATTTGGGAAATGTTAGAAACTGCCACAACACGGCTGTTACTTCGTGAGCAGTTAGCTGTGTGTTGTTAGATGACGGCATGCATTTTACAATCGTATTAACAAGCAACAGTCGGTCACATACAGTAGTAAGCGGTCCCAGAATACGTAACGCCCGCGTTCCTAGGTACATTTTAAAGGATAGCTAAGCGTTTCCTGCACTATTACACCCTGATTGGCGTCCCGTCCGGCTGTGTCCCGCCAGGCGCTCGCTGCTTGCCGGGCTAGGATTCTGCTCCCAGCGATCCTGTACCGGATAAAAGCGCTTAGAAGATGGACTGATATACAAATTGCAACTGACTGTCCAGACGTGAAAGTCGGGAGGTGGCCAGTGGTCTTAATTTACCTTTACTACTGCAACATGAGATCATTCTTCAGAGCGAGTGATTAATATGAAAGCAGTCGGGCACGACCATTAACTTTATCAATCATTTTTAAATTAGCAGGAAATACCATTATATATATAAAAAACATTAAAAAGAAACAGTATGACATGAAAAAGAATTCAGCAGCACAAATTATTTATCCGGTGTATTTGATAATTTCAGATGACTGATTTATAAATTACTTTCTAGTGTATATTAACATTGAAAATATATTCATCTCAATCTATTTCAGAACTTCTTTTCACGACTTTTTGTTATTGTAAAAATACCGGGTTTCAGACTAGATCAAACCTTCGAGAACAGACCCGACGCTAAACCGCTCCAATTATTATGCCCGCAAAATCTCAAATCAGGACAGCTACAACAAGTACTTCTAATAAAGAGATGAAAACGGAAGAGAATAAAATGCAGTAGGGAGAAACGCGATGGAGACGATCAGAAATAGTTTTTAGGTGAAAATAGCCGGTCGCCCACCTGTCAGCCTGCGAGTGGCCCGTATCGCCAGCAGAGGGCGCTGCTTCGGGCTGCCGGACAGGTTCAGCGTCGTCAACAACGACCATTAGTCCCGGGCAGTTCTTCAAAATCATACTTCTTATTGTTCCACTACGGCGGCCACTGCGGCGCATCGCCGTTATCAACAAGAAACAAAACGAAAATAAAATACAGCTTTCAAAAAAACACAGAAAGTGTTTCGCTGCCTGTGAGTAGAACTATTTTAGATCACGCCATCGCATTAAAATCAACCAAAACAAACGATGAAAATGTGAACGTAATGAAAGAATTAAATCATTTTTATAATTTAGTGCTATAATTCATGCTTACAATAACTTTATGATATGTAATTGCTTATAAAACATATGATCACTCCTCAGTGTCTGATTTGGTTGAACCTCTTCGCCTGTGGGACAGGAGGCTGTGGGAGGGGCCTGAGGGGCCGCTGGGACACCACCCTGTGCCGAGGTGCCTAAGCTCCGCCAATAGAAACCGTCCTCCCGCCGCGGCCACGCCCTCCGGCCCCTCCGATTGGTCGGGGCGGCGAGCGAGGCGAGTGCGGCTCAGGACTGTATATCACCTCCGAGACGCTCAAGAGAGCGACACACCGCAGACCTCCGACACCGGCCCGCAGCCGCCCCCCAGCGCACGGCGAAAAGCAGCTGTTTCTTTTGACCCGTGGAATACAGGGAGGTGTTTTCCGAAAGTCTGGCAGCTGGAGCAGTTGTTGGTGAGTAATAGTGATAATAGTTCTCTCTCTCTCGCCTTTTTTTTAAAAAAGAAAACAAACCAAACTCACCGAGGAGTCTTGTGTGTCTGACTCAGAGGATGCCCCTCTTGCAGCTGCTCTCCGACCTGACCAGGACAAAAGGCAATCCGTCCGTTGAGCAGTGTTTTAGAACAAAAATCAAGAGGTGAAAATGGAAAGTGGTACTATTTTCTCCCCCCCCCCAAAAAAAAAAAACAAGAACAACATTTGGCAGCATTTCGTCTTGGCCGTAGTACTGTACCTCCCACCCCGTATATAAATCAAACTCCTTCAGGTCGCCTCGCAAGCTCATTGTTCCGAGCTCCTAGCCCTGCGCACACCCCGAGCCTGAGCGGCCTGAGCCGTCCAGTCCGCAATGGGCCAGTCGGAGAGCCGTGCGCCGGAGCGCACCTGGGCGCTTCTCCACTGCCCTGCAGGTGCGGTTGTTCCCCTCTCGTCCTCCTCTCTGCGTGTCGTCTCCGGGGGGAGGCGCACAAAGGGAGGCTGCGAGGGGCTTCAGCTCTGTGGTTGTCACAGGGGTCGGGAATGCAGCTAAACTGAACACAGGTGGAAAAGGTTCAGGTGAAGAGTGGACAAGAGGCTGCGTTGGAACAGTCGCCAGTTGTAGCGCTGCTGTCAGAATCGACTCGATTAAAATCACATGCGCCTCAAGACTGACCTGTCTTTTCCAAGGTTGACCCTTTCCTGGGTACCTGTCTCAGATTTAAAAAAAAAACATCTTCCCCTGTCCGGGACAATTGGGAAAACTGTTGAGTCATCTGTTCTGCCGCTCCGCATACCGGTATATATCATTCTGAAAGGGCAGGACTTCTGGCTTGAGGCGGATCTGTCACATTTGCAGCCAGACTAATTTAAATGAAAAATAGGAGAAGTACAACTGTAATTGGTCTGCAAATCTTGCCTTAAGTAAAACTGATCGCGGCGAGCGGCGACGAGGCTCTGGAACTGGGCAGATAGATGCTGTGCAGCACAGGCACCTGAGGATATTGAAAGAGAATGGAAGATTAATGTGGTTCACACGCCTTACAGTAACTTACAGTATGTGTTCAGGTGTTTATTTGTTCACTGCAGTTCAACCTGCGCATAAGTGTGTTGTAGTGTGCGCTGGGTTTGCTTTCACAAGTATGAACGTACGTTATTGATCAATCACCCAAACCAAAGACCGGAGACCTGGAGGAGAAAATTAAAAATCTGTTATATAGAAAAAAAAACAAAACACAGGGTTTTCTGGCTGCGAGAGGGGACAGCAGCGTTCAGGAAGGCCAGGCTGATGCCCAGGTAGCAGGTGGAAGGATATGTTGTAGGAGAGTGCAGCTCTTTGCAGTCTATACTGAGCTGTTACTCCAGTCAGTATTAACTGCTGCCATTTCATTTAAAATGTGTGACATAAGACAATGTACAATTCCTTTTTTGATGTAAATTGTAATAAACTACAATGATCTGAAGAGCACTGAAAGTAATTCAAAGATGAAGAAATAGGAGAGCAGCAAAGACTTACAGTGCCTTTACAACTTAATTTTCCTTTTCAGATGCAAAAGCACCCTGATAACCAAACTTGTTTTGGGGCATTTTATGCATATTGGAATTTCAGCACACAGAAGGAGTCTCTTTTTGCCATGAGGTTAATAAAAAAGACTCTGCCGAAGGTTTGTAAAAGCAGATACACCTGCCTGAAAACAAACAATACGCACTGCAAACACAAGGCACTTAGCTTGATCCAGAGACAGATAAGTCCTCTGATAACTCTGAAATGGAGAAACAAGCAACATGCATTTGGGTTGGAAATTCTCAATACAGAGCGGAGGTAGCAAACAGGCTTTGATACGTGACCTGAGTGTGTTGATTGTTTACAGTAACGTAGTCTTCTGAGAACCTCTTCGTATTTGCAGGTAAATCGGTGCCCCGTGTATCTGCTCTTTTGGGGTAGTGATTGTGAACTGGCAGGTAGTTCAGAGAGGGACCGGAATAGGGCTGCCTTGTGACCAGCCCCTCTAGCCTGTCTTTACCCTGTCACTTGAAGTATGGCAGCACTGTAACAAGGAGAAAGACCAGTGCTGGCTGGAGCACAGCCTCTACACACACTCCCCAGCTCACGAGCGCTTAAACACGTATGGATATATCAGGCCTCTTACTCATTTTGGATAAAGTGCATACATCTTAAAAAATTAAGTACAGTATTATAATCTGATTTATTCCTGGTATGTTATATGAGCTGGAAGAGTGTTGTTCTCTTGACTGTATTAATTCCACTCCCTGGTGCAGTGGGCAGACCTCAGTGAAGGAGGTAGAACCAACCCCCTGGAGAAACTGGAACCCTGGGTGTCCCGATAGCAGCTACTGTGCCAAAGGGTTAGTCCAGACGGGGTTAGAAAATAAAGACTGGAAGTGGCAGTAAAAAGATCTTGCTTTACGTTCTGCTGTTTATGTTTCCAGTAGTTTTTGCAGTCTGTTTCTTTAAGAACAAGGAGGAGAGGAAGCAGGAGAATTCAAACTGTGGATTTTCCCTAATCATGAGAACATAGAAAATTCTTGTAAAATCTGCTGTCACTTGATGTCGTTTTTTATTGAAGGGTCATTTTACTATCATAGGTATGCTTTTTTGGTGTTTTTATATATTTTTCTCTGTGCTGAGATCTGCCTTAAAACAATGGTAGTTTTTTAATGAAGCTGTCTGTAGGTTTGCTGTGTCTACTCAAAACTTCATTCAGGTTTTTTAAAATATTAGCTAACTTTAAAAATGTTAGAGCTGATGTGAACTTGATCACTATACATGTAAAGAAATGAAATTCTGCATTTTTATTTTTTTTTTCCAAAAATACCTCATTTGTAGCAGAAAGACTGCTGATTCTAAATGAAAAAGCATAAACTTCCTTAATTTCGGGTAGCTTGTTCGTCTTCTGTTCATGTATCAGACGTTGCTTGGAAAAGCCGGAAATTGACATTTCATAAAGATCCCGATGCTAATAGTTTTTTTCAGAAAATTCTTGTTTGAGCAGGACAGTACTTCATGAACATGTAGGAAGGAATCTGCAACACCTGCATAGTGTCAGCATGCATCTGTGAGATGTAGCAGGGCACATGATGTCACTAATGCACAAGCAATGATGGTGAGTCTGATGATAGACATATAGGGGTGATCATCTATTATTGTAGGTTTGGTGTTGCTTCACTCGCTGGCATTGCATGCATGAAAACTCGGCATATCTTTCTGCGCACCTGGACCTTGTTTTGGTAAATTGAAGTCTTTTTTTGCTGAGTTTACATCATAAAACAATGTGGAGAAATTGTTAAGCTTCATATAAAGTGCTTGTGCAAATAGTTTCATAGAAAGCCATGCTGTAGCCTACCGTTGCTTTGGGCTGTATTTAGAGATTATTTGGTAGAGAACCCTGAGATAGGGATTGCCGCCTGTGTGCTGCTGTGAAATCAATGACTTCTGTGTTCTCAGGGGATTTTGGAAGAACTGGCACCTGAAATGAAGTTAAACAGTAGATAATCGGAACTGTGTAGAGTGTGAGCAGAACACAGCCAGGACTGTTGTTTTGATTGAGCCCTGTGATTCTCATTACACTTCTAAGAAGGAATTCAGTATCTCTTGAGCAGGGAATGTGCTTTTTTAATAGAGAATAGCTGCTTTAACGTTTGTACTGTACCTACATTGTAGTCCTAAAATAGGTCAAAGGACACAATTACAGCTACATCCTCACAATTAATTTCCCAAAACAAACGAGCACTCGATAAATAAGTCTTTGCAAAGATTGAAGTGGTTTTCCTCTGCATTGTGTGACATAACACAGTGAAAGGTATTGCTTTATTCCTTTTTGTTCAGCAGTACTGGGAAAACCACTTTTCATGGCACAGTATTTAAGGTTTTCTGATAAATTACTTAACTGAAAGTGTTTTTTTTATTTTTCGTTAGATCAAAGCAATTGTTTTGAGTAGTCAATCATGCTGTGTTCCTGGTTCTGCCTCTGACATGTCACATCACTTGTTCTTGGTATAAATAATGGTTTCAGAGGAATGTTCCACTTATTAAATGAAGGAGTTTGTAAAATAAGAATAGCTGGGCTACATACTGTAGTTTATAAAGGAGTAGAGGATTGGGGCGTGTTTCACTGGAGCACTTCAGGGAGACTGTATTGGTTATGATCCCAGATTAACCACACTCATCTGTCTTAAACACTATGCTGTATAAACTGCCTGTTTATGTTAGCTGGGTAATAAAAGTTTACCATCCGTTTATTAACATACGTTTTGTTCCTTGGCTATGTAAACAGAACGTTCGGGCACTGTGGAAGGGGAAAAGATTTTTTATACTGTACATACCATAGTAATTCAAATTCTAATAAATCAAACATGCTTTTGTATTTTATTATGGGTTCAAATCTATATTGCTCAATTGTGGAGTCACTTATTAGAAATAACAACCAATTTAAATTAAATCACCTCTTTTGGTTTTTGTGTTATTTGAGGACAACACTTGTTTCTAAGAAAGTTCAGGATATAAAACAGAAGAAAAATGTGGGACTTTCCTCCTCTGAATAAAGTTCACAAACATGCAGTTTATGTGTAGATATGCTTGTTCTTTTAGCTGAGATGAGAGAGGAACTCAGATGCTTGAGCCATGTTTTTATTATACAGTATTTTGTAATATGGGGCATGACACGTATTCGGTTGTAGTCTGCAGTGAAAGAAACACAGAGACGTGCTGTAGATGTTTTTTTCCACTTGCATAAATGGGTTCTAGCAGGCATGCTTGTTATCCCAGTCCCTGTAAAAAATATATAGATCAAAGCAAAAAAAATGAATATATTTTAATGCTGAACAAGGCAAAAATGTTTAATTCAGGAACTGCTTTGAACTGTACCATTTGCTAAGGAAACCAGGGAATTAATATCCAGAATTGGTAATTGTAAATGCAGACAACAAAGAGGTTTCGATGTAGCTTCCTTGTTCCATCACCTCAGGGCAAGAACAAGAACAGGGCAAATGAGAAAACCCACAACAATTAAAACATGTCCCATTCCACCGAGACCAAGCGGGACCCTTTGTTTAGAGATCTGCAGTTGAGGGAGGCTGTGCTTCCTGTTGTCCCCAGACTGCTGATTTCCCAGCTCTTAGCAGACCACTCTTTCAAATCCCACGGGGAACCTCACTTTCATACTCGAGCTTTTCATCTGAGTTCATCTGTGGATGCCAGACTCTTCTGTTTTGTTATAAAGCACCACAGGATGATGCATCAGGAAAGGTGCTGTATAAGGTAAATATGATTGCGGTCTGAGTCCAGAGGGGACTCAGAAGAAGGGGACCAGGAAGAAAAGCAGCTTTTGCTTTGCTTTTTTGTACTGTACTGTAGAGTTTCAGCGTGCAACACTGACTGCAGGTAAAGAATGTCTCGGTAGCAGACCAGGCAGTGCGTTTTGTTTTGGTTGTTCTCTTGTGATATGTGGCTTATCTGAAGCTGTACTCTTGGCTTGATCTGTACAAATTCAGCCTCTGATTTGAGTTGTGTGACGCATTGTCATGTGGTTTGAAAAACTGATCATCCATTTTTATCATTTGTTGACCACTCAGAAAAAGTTTAAAAAAAATAAGGAGGGATCATCGCTTCTCTGAGGGTTTAAATATCTCAACGGAAAGCTTGAAAAACATGTTTTATATTCTCAGTTTGCCTACATATGTGTTCAGTGTGGATGTAAATGGGTGTGGGGTAAACTGGAGGTTTGTCGGGGTTACTCGTACCGTGCCACAGAAGTCATGACTGTTACTCTGTTTTTATTTAAATATCTTTTGTAATTGAAAAGATTTTTGTAATTCATTTTTTATTTGAAAAAAGTACAAGCCCTGGCTTCCTTCAAGAAAACGTTGGTTGAGTTCTTTGTATCTACTAGCAGCCTAACCAGCTGGTAATTTCCTGTCATTTCTTACGTGTTGTGGTGTATGTAAACAACCGTAAAATGAAATTGAAATGTAGTATGTAGCAGCATCAGGGAACGTTCCTTGCAGGTGTTGTACAACTTTGAATAATTGTCTGAATATACAGTCTCCCCAAGCAAGAGCATTTCAGAGAGACGGGCCCTGCATGCAGTATGCTGTAGGTGATCCATACACAGTGTTCTCCAACCAGGAGAAAAATCCTGCCTTTCGCCTGACGCAGTGGTTCACAGACTGCAAAGCATGCCGTGCTCATGTTCTCTTATTACCCAGGAGAAAGTCAGTCTGGAACCTCTTTTCCTTTAAATCTCACATACAAGCATTCTCTTACCCAAAGCTGGGCCGTTACCGAGGCCCAGCGGTAAAACGCTGAAGCTGGAGCCCGGAGCAGAAGCAGTCTCATGGGAGAGACGTGCCGTCCCCTGTCTGGAGGGACACTTGACTGGCACAGGTGGCATTTCAGCTCCCGCCGTTCATCTGTCCCCGTCACAGAGAGCCGCCTCTCTCCCGGCTGGATGCTAATAAAGCCCCGATGCCGGGGTCAGCTGTCTGTGCGGTTCCCCACAAAGAGCAGCTTTTCCAGGTGGGAGCGCTCTGACGCAGCCTGCCACTCCACTGCGGCGTCTGCACGCTCTCCAGCTAAACACTGTTCACCGCGGCTCCGACTTGTTGTGGACTTCCGAATAGTTTTGGGCTGGCTCTGGCTGCCAGAGACGGTACCAGCTGTCGTTTAGTACAGGACAGGTGAGGTTGTTCTCATTACCCCTCTGCGATGCATGTAATTCGCAGGGATTGTGGAGCTTCTGCAATTAGCTTGTCCTCCCACCACATGTGAACATTCCTGCTTATTGTAATTGTGTTCTTATATGAGGGCATGGAGTATATAGCCACTCTAATCATACCTTATCTATCATAGTCTTCATGATCGTATCAAATGCAGAAACGTGTTTAAAATGATATTGTTTTATCCTGAATATGTAGTTATATTTTCTGCTTTATATATTAAGTAGATGAGCTTAAAGGATTCCTTAACTGAACTGAAGTGTCTGAGAAATTGTCTAAAGAAATGAAGTGATTTGTTTCCACAATGTGCTGACAGAGTAATACACAGCCTGTATAAAAGCATTCTCTCTCTCCGCTTTCCAGCTCCATGTTCCCTTATGTGTTAGTAATAAATCCTGAGAACAGGGTGTTTAGAAACATTTGAAAGTATTGATCTGAGCTAAAGAACCTCTTAATTCATCACTGTATGGCATTTTAGTATTCATGAGCAATACCACATTTTTCTGGTTATGGAAGCTCAGCTAGTACTACGCATTCTGTTATTCTGTTAAAAAAACATTTACATTAAAGAGAGTTTCCCCACACCCAGACAACTAATTAAACAGCCTTTAGTGATCTAAAGTCTCTGATGAATGATAGAGGGTTTTTCTAGTGCCGTGAAGCATGTCCACTCCAGCTCCTGGATGAAGGGAGAACAACTGCTCGGTCCTAATTAGCTCCTTTGCCTTTTGGCTGCACTGTGGCTCTTCCCAGAGCTCAAGAGGATAGCGCTCCCGTCTTCTTCCGCAGCTGTGACGGCGAAGCTCTTAGGAATTAGTAGTGAGGACCCTATGCAGACCCTACCAGGGCAAACTCCAGAAGGCGTAGTCGAAAGAATGTGAGGAAGGCGAGAGTCAAAACCAGAACGAGAGCAAAAGTACCAAAACCGAAACCGGGAGACGTAGACGGAGAACAAACCAGGGTCAGGAAGCCAAAAAACCAAGTAGTAAATATCAATGAGACTGGGAGTAGCTTTAGCCAAGAAAACCCTAATACTGAGCACCGGGAAGAGTGTGAGGCAGCATAGAATGGGCTGGAGAGAAGGGCTAATTGGGAACGGTGCTGGAATGTGAGGTGGAATGCCGAGTCCTGCGGGGGTTTTCATTTCGAGCCCCAGCCTCGTGACTCCTCGTTTGTCTGCGGAGAAGTCACGTCGTGTGAAGCCTGGGAAAGGGTTGGGTGCTCTGATCCGTGGCCCGTGGTGATCTCTCTGGCTTGGGCCCTGCCTCTCCAGCGGGCCTCAGTTGGCTTCAGTGGGGCACTCCTGTCCCCCCACTGTCGCAGCCTCCCTGAAAACAGAGCTCATCGTGGTTCCACCTCTCAGCCCAGGCCAGCTCGGCCATGTGCTTCCTGTTTCTTTTGAGATCCTCAATCGTTTCGCTGGGTAACAGGCCTTCACTCCTGCACAACGTCCGTGGCTCTGATCTCCAGCCCCTTTTCAATCATGCTGTCGTTGAGGACACTTAGGACGCTACCAGGCTGGCAAGGGTTTTTGGATTATTAGTGTTGAATCTTTGGGAATATTCCCACCCTTCTCCTGTCATGTAATAGCTGGAGTGGAAGGGCCACAGGCTCACCTTTCTCTGCAGGAAGAAGGTTTCCGAAAGGATGTTTTAAGGCTGTGTCGGTTATAAAACGAGACCCTCCTGTCGCACAATATCAGAGCAGCGGGATGGACGCGGTGCAGTCCGAGAGTCTAACAGTTGCCCTGAGCTGAGGCAGCTGGCCGGCAGCTCTCTGTGCCCGCTGTTTTTAGATGAACTTCTGGCGTCATTTCTTCCTCTGTGTCTGATTTTGGGGTTGTATGCAGGAGCATAGGGTGTATTCCCATCATGGGTGGGAATGGGAGGGATGGGGAGTGGGATGTGGGATTTTCCAGATGTTGTGTTGTGGTTGATTGGAAGTTCTTGTACTCCATCATAAAAAAAAATGTTAACAAAGTCATATAGCTTAAACTGTAAAGGAACAAGTAAGGGTTTATTCCATGATGAAAAGAGAAGAAAAGAAACAATCTTTCAGCTGTGGAGTCTTCTTTGGGTGTCAAAATGTTGAAACTTGGAGTTTCATTTCTTCTCTTTTCAGCAGGAATAAACCTTTACTTGTTCCTTTGCAGTCTACGCCTGCTGACGCAGCTCCCTACGTGAACTACTTTAGCTTGAACTGTTCAGCGTTGTGCGCTGTGTGTGGAGATACTGAATTCAGGAAAAGAATGAGAATGTGTAGTTGAATGTTTCCACCTGTATCTTGGCGCTGTCAAGCGCGTGTTTAATGTTCGGAAGCTTGCTCAAGAAAATGAGGTTTGTTGAGGTATTGCCAAAAGGAAGAGCTGCTGCTCTGCTTTGCTCCCACACTGTCAGACACACGTAGGCAGTGTGTGTGTGTGGGGGGTTGATGTACGTGCACAGCCCTTGTTGTAATGAAGTCCTGCATGTTTCTGTCAGCTGTAACTTCTCATGAACTCATGGTGTTCAGACACGCCTGTCAGAAGGTTTTTAAACTCCGCCTTGCATTGTGTTCCACTCGTATTTGGCCATACCTTGTTGTCAGCACGTAGACGTTTATTTTATTGCACCCGTATGCTGTTTCCTTTGTCAAACCTGTGTACATCGTGTGTCATCCTGGAATTGCTTGTCGTTAAGCAAACAATAAGAACCTCAGTGTGTATCTGTATCTGTTCTGTATTTCTGTGCCTAGTCCCCCACAGCCCGCCTGGGTGTCAGGACTGGTCCTGGCCAGTGCCCTCAGTGATAAGATCTTCATTTTCCAGTTGACGGTGGTTGGTCTTTGTTATATACAGTAACTATATGGCTGAATGAGCCCATGTGTTTGCCCTGTTATTTTAAGCTTAATATTTTGGTGGTGTACAGCAATGCTGCGTTCCTCTCTGAGGTGATTAAGATTGCATCATTCCATCTGAGGGCTCTGTATCCATCTGCCCTAAGCAAGGGGAAGTGCCGATTGCTTTCAAATTGGAGCATTTCAGCACTTCAGTCATGCTACAGTTAAGCTCATGACAAATCATACACCTTAATGAAATCATAACGTCTGGAGATCATTGTACAGCACTCATCATTACCCTGGCCCGTTTTCTGTGTAGTGCCTTGGTTTGACGGTCATGTCTGTGATATAACCACAGTTTAACAGTTTTTTTTTTCAAAACACGTCTCTCATTCTGTTCAGACAGACCTGTGGAAGGACTTGCCACAGTAACACCCAAGCAAAAGGTAAGCAGAAGGAGCTTTCCATTCAGCGTTCTCATGCAAAACACTGTACTTTTGAAATCTGGCATTAAAAGGCATAAAAGTCATTCTGGCAACTGTATTTTCTTGTTGCGAAGGGACTGAACTCTCACATTATCGCGTTATGGTCAGTACAGGATGAAAAACATGTCCTTTCTCAGCAGCTGGGATGTGATTGTGGACGAAATGAGTTTTCTTTTCTTTCACAGTCCGTTTGCTTTTAAGAATGTTTGCAGGAGTTCAGCAGAGGTCTTGGCAGTAGGCACAATAAGATGGTGTCAGACACAAATCCTGGCAGCGCTGCGCAGTCTAAAGAATAGAATTCTTCCCCAAGGTTGTAATTACAGTCTAAAACGCCCAGACGGCCACATGTGTCCCTCCTACAGTATAATAAAGAGTGATAGGCCGACATGAGAGCACTGTAGCTTCAGCCTGTCCCCTGCCTGACTAGGAGTTACGTAATTAATCCTTTTAATCTTCACATGGAGCCACCAGCGGATTAAAAAATTATCCAGTTGACTTAAAGTACTTCAAAGAACGATACGGGATTATGCTGCGCGCACATGTAGGATTTCAATTAAGAGCACGGTGATTGGAGTCTAAGATGACTTGTGTTTTCCACAGCCACCGTGACACAGGTATCGCTGACAGTCCGGCTGCCTGTTACCGTGCGGGTGACCGAGGTGTCCGCTGTAACTCTGTTCGCTTCTGGTAGCGCCACGCCAGGGGTGTCAAACTCGGCACGTACTGTACCTCACAGTGCTAAATGCCATTTGTACATACGAAACCCTTTCACGCATTACACGGTATTATTTGTAGTGGTTTCCGTGTTTATTTTCCAACGACATACCTCCCTTTAAGATGCAATTACCCGGCAGTGCATCATCAGCAGATCCCAGTTTCGCAGAACATCACCTTCTGAGATTAGTGTGTGCTTTTAGAATTTATTAACAGGAATTATTTGAAATATCATAATTGTGATTATTGCACAGTTCCTCTCTTCTGAAAAGAATGTTGCCTGGACTTGTCATTCAACGGCTCTTGCGCCGTTAATTCCCAATATATTCTTTCATGGTATTATTTTTATAAGGACGGAAGTAACGCGAAACTGCCGGTAGCAAACCGTGGCACTGAAATGCGCCAGACAGGGGCTCTGGGGTCATTGACGAACTACAGTACTATAGTAGTGGTTTAGTGTTTTTAACTGGTAAAAAAAGAATCGGCAGAGTTGTTCATGGGATGCGTTAAAAAATCCTGCAATACAATTTCTTCTACAACTGCTGCAGTTCTAACACTAATGCGATGAAAGAATACATTGACATTGCAGCGGGCGGTGTACTGGGTTCAGCTCGGCCAGTTGGAAACGAAGTGGTTCCTGTTTATTATGGAAACGAGCTGTTCGCAGCCCTACGGCGTCTTGTACAAGGACAGAATATCTGAAGCAAAACACTTTTTCCGGGGATAATTCGGTCCGGCACCACTGATAAATTGTTCCAACATCAACACTTGTCCTTCAAAATCGCAGCCGCCTCTTGATACAAATACAAACACACAAGTTACAAGTACATATCAAACATTTCTACACTTCTCTCTGAACCACAGATCTTTAATTTATTTTTTTTTCTTGATAACATAATTAGAAGGCACTTGCTACCACGTTCAAGAAAATCCTTTAAGGATTGTAAAAAAAAAAAAACACCAGGTGCAGTTTTTGAGTGTGAATATAATAGCGGCGATTTAATCTCTG